TTCTTTCGCAATGTATATCTATCATTATACAAATAAATAAAGAAATGATGTTTACCTACAAAAAAAAAAAAAAAAAAGTAAATTAATTATAATTTAATATATCTATTCAATTAATATATATTGGTATCAAATAAATATTTATATATTAAAAGTATTAAATAACTAATACTTATTCAAAATAATAATATTATAGTTAAAATAAAAAATTTTTTATCAATAAGATTGTTAAAACTTTTTAAAGTATTAAAAATTTTTTGATAAATATTAAAATTTTGATAATTAATATTAACAATACTTTTAACTATACATGTGACATAAATATTTTATTATTGACTCAATTTCTAAAATTCTCAAAAATAATTATACAGTATTATGACTTAATTATTTATATATTTTAATAGTGACTCAATTAATTGCATCAAATAATTATATCAATTATATCAAGGATCTATAAATTTCAACAATATATATACTTTTAACTATAGTTTTTTTTTATTTAATTTCTAATAATATTGATATAATAACTAAAATTGAATATTGGTTTTATATTTATATAATATTTTGAAAGAATAGTTTGAAATTTTATTTTTTTTTAAACTTTTTTAAAAAAGTATATTATCTATTAGATTAATAAGTAAAAGATTATTAGCTTTATTTAAGTTAAATTTTTTTTAAAAAATATTAATAGAGATAAAAAACTTAAATTTGGTTTTTTTTTCTTTAATATAAAAGGACTGTAGTAATATATGAATATATAAACTATGTTTTTTAAATAAATATTATAATATAAATACACATTATAATTATAAAGTTAAAGATATCTCTTGTAAAATTTAATCTTGATAAAAAATTAATTTGTTAAGATTTTTATTTAGAATATAATAAAAAATTTGTAATTAAATTTGTCAATATTTCAAAGTTTTTTGTTAAACTTAATAATAATATCAAGTTTAGAAAAAATTTTAAATTTGTAAATTATAGATTTATCAAAAAGAAAATTAAAAAGATTAATATAGAGATTTTTAAATTTAATTCAATAAATAATACTTAGATAATTATAATTAATAAATAATAATATATTGTAATTTAGTATATATATACTGTATATTATAAAAATAAAGATTGAAATGTCTTATGAAATAGTTATTAAAAATTGGTTTTTGTTAAAGATTCATATAAAAGTATCCATTTAATTTTTAGTTAATTATTAATTATTAATATAAAGTTGCTATATATGGGTTTAACTTGATAATTAATATATTTCAATAGTTAAAAATTAAACTTGTGAAAAAAATAACATGTTATTATATATAAGAATATAATATTTTAAAATAATAAAATAAAGCTGGATCAAAAAAAACTAAAAAATTAAAATTAAGGTTATAAATATTAAATATTAATAAATTATTAATAAAAATATTATTATTGTTTAAGAAGTATACTTTATAATTAATTAATTATATAAAGGATAGTTGACAGAATATAAATATAACTAGTATTTGGATTTGAAAACAAAATTATTTATTAATTTTTATATATTATTAAAAATAAAATAGATGTTTTTTTTATTGTTTAAATAAATTTAAACTAATTAATTTTAATTAATTAAAATATGATTATATATTACAGTTATATTTTTTAATTTGTTTTATGTTTGTAATAATAAAGCAAAAACCTGTAACTAATTAATAAATATTTGTATTATATTTAATTATAAGAAAGTTAAAAATATTGATATTATTTAAATATATTCAAAGTTAAAATTTGTGATTTAATATTGATAAAATATTTCTATTAATTATATTATTTAAGTAAGATATATTTATAAATCAAATAGATATAGGATTAATCAAAATATTTTTTTTATATATAAGATTTTAAACCAATATTAAAATTATATTGACTTATAATAATTTAATATATAAATTATGATTTATTATATTAAACTTATGGTAAATTAAATATTGACTTGATATTAAAATAGTATTAATAAGAATTCTATATTTAATACATATAATTATTTGTTAATATATTTTATAAAATTATCATAAATATAAAGAAATTTGATAGAAATTCTATTGTTTATTTAAACTTTTAAAATATTCTTTTATTATTATTTTCATATTCTAATAAGAATAAATTAACAGATGAATTTATTAATAATAATGATAACTTTTTATTTTCATAGAAAAAAAATATTAGCAATATTTTAAATTAAATTAATATATTTAAATTATATATTGGTTATAAGAAAATATTTATTATAATACAGTTGGATATAGAAAGTCTTATATTCTTATAGCAATAGCTTGTTTTTTTTTCAAAATAAAAGTTATATTATATATTTTTTTAATTATTGCAAACTAACTGCAAATTCAATAAAATATATTATTAATTTGATTTTATTTTTTACTTAAAGGTAATAATATAAAAATAAATAAAATTAATATACTGTATATATAAATTTTGTAAATTATTGAATAAGAAGTTATATTTCATTTTAAATTAGATAAGTGCTTTGGATAAATTTAATAATACTAAAATTAACTTTAAAAAAAACAAGACATTAAAGATAATATTAACAAATTGTATAGTGATCATTATTACATTAAGGATTTTTAGCAAATAATGAATTGACATTATATTTTAGGCAAAAGTAAACAGGTGAATTGAAATTACACTTTATGGAAAATTCAATAAGATAAAATCAAATACTCTTAAAGTTATAAATTTTTTGTATATTAAAATAGTGTTCAATTTAAGAGAAAATGAAAAGGTAGTAGGACAAGTATAAGTTCATTTTGTCAACAATAAAAGATAAGCAGAAAAACCAAACTGAAGACATTACTGAAAAATTCCCTTTTCTTAAATATTTTATTAGAGTCTAGTTGCAAGAATTTTGAAAATATATTGAACTACTTAAATCAATAATTAATATCAAAAATATGAGAGCCAATGATAAACTTTTCAAAAACTATATTAAAAGAAAGATGAGAATTGCATGTATTTTTAGTTTGTTTCATAATTGATAAACTGTGTAAAAGCTAACTTTATTAACACAGTTATGTTAACTTGATGTTATTGTTCCTGGCAAAAGGACATCATCCAAATGGCTATGGAGTTGATGATTTTGATCATCGCTTACATTGAAAATAAACTCTGTCGTTATGTCTATGGGATGGTACAGGATTACATGAAAAGTCATCTCTATGAAAAGGGCAAAATGGAATATTTACAAATATAAAGTGGATCAGCTGCATAGAGAAATTCAAAAATAACCTGTCGGTTAAAGGATTTTTTACGGAAAAGGTGTGCATTGCTAGTATTTTTAAGAATGGAATCATAGCGAATGGTGTAAATTTTAAGCCTGATGATATGGAATTTTTTTATAATGAAAAACGAATCCGATTTTCTTGAATAAAAAAAATTTATGTTTACTTATCACATTGTTGGAGCAAAAAGGCGATTGATGGATTACTGATTTCGCAAACAAATAATAAGTTATATGTTGCCCCAATACAGATTACCCTCAAGAGTATTCATTCAGATTCTGAAGGAAATTTTTTCCTCAGTATTTGACCAAATTTAAAATCAAACTTTTCAAGCTTTAAGGACAGATTAGAGATAATATCTATATGGATTACAAGCGAAAGTAATACTGACTTAACAGTGGAGAGTAAGTCTAGAAAAACACAGAATAATTCTTTTGAAATTAATCCCGATTACATTCAGATAGTACTGAGATTTAGGAATGTCAACAAAGATATTGATCAACATCTATCTTGGTCATATCATCAGTTTATAAAGAAAAATTTAGTTCACAAAAAATGGAGCGATTCCTGAAACAGCAATGACATCTATAACAGGAAAAATGTTTGTTAACATATATACACGGTGTGGGGAGGTGTTATCCAAACAAACGAAAAATGTACCTTAGCTCAAATAAAACAAATAGATTTGATGTTTTTTCCGAAGATGGTCAGAGAATTTATTATGTATAGAAGATTAGCCTTGCTGGTTCCACTAACATCAAATGTTTTATTCAATTGATTCATTAATTATTATCACGAAGTGGGTAAAGTGCATCGCAAATATTTTTCACCTTTTTATATAAAATATCATAGATTATAATTTGTTTATAGACTTGAACGGTAACGGACCAGAAATTGCTAGAAGTTTTTACACCTTACGTAGGTGAAATGTTTTAATTGAATCTATAGCCACTGTGTGAAAGACAATAAAACGGGTTAAGCCCAGAGTCTAATAACTTGAGATATGACGTTTGTTACTCATTATCTTTAAGGGGAGCGGTTTCATTTAATTCCGCATTAGTTACAGATGCAATTTGCCTTCGTTTCCCTTTCGTATTTTCTAAAAATAGTTGTTTTACTATTTTCTCGATTTCAAGTGATTTTTTCTACATTTGATCATCAAGTTGGGTAGATATTTGTTTATGTTAATGTAATTAGCAATGATACCACTTACTTCAAGCAATTTAATGATACAGAACGCATCCTCAAGTATCCCAAATTCATCTTCATCAGGCGGTAATATGCATCGGTCCACTAACCCAAATCTGTATATACCGGCTCCTGACCAATCCATGGCATAAAAGTTCAATTCTAAACCTATACATAGAAATGGAGATTACTAGCAATTAATCCAACCTACATAAATAATGTAGACAATTTTTACATTTTTCAAATGTTACGTGATTACATTCCCTTAGAAGTCGATTTATGCTGTCCCGCATTATTATCATAAGCTTTACCTTATCAAGATATCGCTTTTTACGACAGGCAGTGGGTATTCCAAGAGAACCCAAACCTCTCGATACTTCATAAATACTTTCGAATTTATTGGTTGTTTTGATAAGAGTACTTTTCATATCAATGCGTCTATCTATTCTTGCTTTTTAAGTGGACTCGCCTTTTCATTACGTGCATAACTTGTGGATAAAGTTTGGATTTCCTCTCTGGATATACAGTACTAAATATAGTTGAGTAGCAGTTATATTTATTTATTCAGAAAATTTGATAAAATGTGAGAATAAAATAAAAAGAAAAAGAAAAAAAAGAAAAAATATAATTGGAGCTATAATAATATAGGCTACTTGTATTAAAACTAAGTTGATTAAATTGTAAATAAAAGTAATATTTTCAAGAAAATTTCCCGTCTGATTTATATAGGTACAGTATATCTATTTTTCCAATTCCTTGCTACCTGTTAATACTGTTTTTGTTGATACAAATTATATATATGGCATAAATTATTTGCTATTAACTCAATTCTCAAAATCTTTAAAAATAATTGTATCATATTTCAATTATTTATATTTTAATAGTAACTTAATTAATTGTATCAAATAATTGTATCAATTGTATCAAGAATTTCTAAATTTTAGCAACATATATAATATACGTAAATAGTAGAGTATAATTAATATTTTAGTAGTTATTATTATTATATTAAAAAATCAATTTGATATTTTGACAAAATTTGATTGGGTAAATTGATTTTAGTTTTTTGAATAAGAAGTTTTAAAATTTTTGAAATGGCATAATAAGTATTATTATAAAGTTGTATATAAAAGTTATATTAAAACATAGTAAATCCAATAATTTCATTTAAGTATGTTTTTGAAAAATATTTGATTTAATATATTTAATAGTATCAATATAAATAATTTTTATAATATAATAGATAAAAGAAAGATACAAAAGAACAAAAGAAAAAAGAATTGTTACAGATTTTTTTTTATGTAACTAAGAATAAACAAGATTTTCAAATTTGAATAGATTTTGATCAAAGATATTATTTCATTATATCAATTGTTTTGAAAGTTTTTGAGTTTCTAAACTAAAGCTTACTGAAGATAAAGAGTATAAAATTCTTTTTCTTGATAAAAATTATTAAAAAAGAAAAAATTTTAATAAATGATATAATTAAAAAAAAGTTTTTATAAATAACTTTATTTATTTTTTTAATTTAATTAACTAGACCTTATCTAATATAATTTTTATTTAATTTATATTTGTATTTTTTGTATTACAGGAATTATTGTTTATAAATTATTCTATATATTATTAGACTATATCAATTATTTTTATATTAACTTGTTATTATTGATTTTATTCTAAGAATATTAAGTAAGACCAATATATTAAGATATTGTTAATATTACTATTGTATTTTTTAATTTATTTCAAATTATATAATGTTTTAAGAGAAAACTAAAATAAGAAATTAAAAATAATACCTATATTTGATAAATAAATAATTTTATTTTTATATATTATTAATAAATCTTTATTAATAAAATTAAAAACTATAAATCTATAAATCTATAGTTTAGTAGTAAAGCTCCATAGGTTATCAGATAAAGGTTTAGGGTTCAAATCTGTCTGGTTACAAAAATTTATTACAAATCCTTTTTAATTAAGCTGCATAAAGATAAGACTTTTGACTTTTCTGATAATTGCAAGGTTGTAACAAATTACATAAGGAAAAAATTATATAAAGAAAAGTTTCTAGTCTAATTCTGATTAACCCTATAACAAGTTTTACAAAAACATTATGTCAAAATTTAAATATATAAACAGAATTGTATTTTATCTTAATTAATTTTATTTATTTGTATAGAAATTAATCCTAGTTAATTAAGATTACATAAAAGAAAATAAATAGGATATCTTGGATTAATTATTCTAAAAAAGCTATTCTATATCTATACAGTTCTATAACCTGATAGAAATTGATATAATCTGAATCAATAGTTCAATAGAAAAGAGTAAAGTCATTAAGTTAAAATAAAGACTGCTAAAAAGGTTTTTACTTGTAAAACAAGATTTTTCTTATTCTTGTTACTAATAGAGTTGAATAAATTAAAAGATCTATAAGGTAGGCCACTTCAAGAATATAATCTGTTTTGTTGAATATGAATTAATAAATAGATTGTTAGTATTAAATTATACAGTTTATAATATAAATAATATTTGATATACTCTTAATATCGATATATATTAATAAAAACAGCATCTAATATGATTTATCAAAAAAAAAAATTAAAATTAAAAACTATAATATTGAATAAAATTTTAATTTTTATTATATTTTATTAAATAATTTGATTAATATTCAATAATATTAATAAAAAAGTATATTTTTAAATATTATATCTTATTTAATTAACTTATATAAATTAAAAATTAAATTATTAAATAATTTTAAATAATATAATAATAATAATATAAAATGATAATCAATATATTTTTTAAACTTATTATAGATATAGATATAGATATATATTGTTTATAATTAAACAAGTATTTATTGTGTTTATTTAATATTAAATTGATAACAATATTTATATATATAAATTAAAATAATATTTTAATATTTGTTATTGATTTTAATAATTTTTAGATATAATCTTGAAAATAAATAGAGTTATTTTATTATTATTATTATTTTTTGAAAGACTTGGATTTATTATTTACAGTTTATTACTATAAATTATCTTGACAAGATTTTAATTATTTAATATTTCTAATTATTTAATATTTTTTTTAATTTTATTTATATATAATAATATCAATAACAAAGTAAGTAATACAAAGTGAATTATACAAATGATACAAATAAGTCAATAAAAGAAACAAAGCTATAGAAATATAATATTTTAAATTGTATTTTTTTAAAATATTTGAAACTTGAAATATTTTAAGTTTAAGATTTTCTATTATATATAAGATATTTTTTTTTAATAACTGGCATACATATTGTTTATTGAATATTGTTATAAGTGCTCTTACATATTTTGTAATGATGTTGGACTTTATCTATTTCCTAAACTATTTATTAATTAGCTTGTTACTCTTTATATCTTCTATATTATTAATGCCAGAGTCCTAATAGTATAGGTAAAGAACCAACTTGCCAAGATATACATCTCTAAGTTTCCATTTGTCATCTGATAAACAGAAACTTAGAAGACTATCTAAACATAATTAACTATAGACTAGTTATATTCCATTGGCTTTAATTAGATCTAAAAAAAATTAAAAAGTAAAAATGGGAGTATGTGTATGTGTTTACATATAAATATCTATAATAATCTGTAGAAAAACCTCCTTAAAACCTGCAAGATATATTTATAAAACTATAAAGAAGAAAAAACTACTTATTGTTTGAAGAAAAATCCTGTTTTGTATGCTATTGTAATTTCAATATTAATTTGTGATTGGTCTATACTTCTTATACCTTCTAGTTGATCTTTATCTAGTCTGAAAAACCTTTAATTAGGATTAATCATTTACTTCTTGTTTTGAGTAAAGTGCTACTATTGTTATTTATTATAGTCAGATGAAGTTCAGTCACAAGATATCCAACTTCAAACCAAACAAAGAATTAGGTACTGCACCACAAATAAAGTTTGTAAAGAAAAGTTAAGAATGTTGGTTTTTATTTCTATTTATAATTATATGTTTTATTATGTCAATATTGTTATTGTGTTTTGTTGATCTGTATCTTCTAGCTATATAAAAAATATCACCAGACTTTTTATTATTAAGAAGCCAATCCAAACCCCAATAATACTTTCAATTTGCCATCCAAGACAACTTGTTTGAGAATAAAAGAAGCTGTTTTCAGCCTTACAACTTCTTTACTAGTAAAGACTATATCTCTAGAGAAAGTATAATATAATGCTGCTAATTAGTATATTTGTGAATTTTTTTAAAAAAAATTTTTTTAAAGAATATATAATAAATAGGAAAGAGTTTTTTTAATTATATATAAGATATAAGATATATAATAACTAATTTCAAAAGATATTTAATATTATTATAGTATAAGCTTATAAATATAAATAATTTTATATTGTTTTATATTTAGTTTTTTTAATTATTATTATAGAATTATAAAATATTAAGATAATTAAACTAAAATATTGGTATTATTATCAAAGCAAAATAAAAAATATATTATTTAAATTTGTAATAAACAAAGTGTTTTTATAAAATAAATAATTATAAAAACAAAAAAAAATAATAATAATAATTAATAAAATATCAAATAAAATTTTAAAAAAATGAAATTACAATTTTATATATTAAAATTTTTAATTTTTTTTTAACAGACTTCAAAATTATTGATAAAAATAGATTTTTTTTTTAATGATTTAATTTATTTAATATACAGTATATTCTTTTTTCAAATATATTAATTAAATTAATATAAACAATTTAAAATTATTGTTTTAGTCAATTTTACAATTCTAAAAATTGAATTTTTTAAAAAAAATACAGAAAAATATAAAATAAAAATATAAAATAACAATAATTTTATAAATTGTTTATAGTGTTCTTTTTAATAGAAAATAAAAAATAATTAATAATTAAATTAATTAAAATCAGAACTTGTAGATCCATAGTACAGTGGTTAGTACTTTATAGATTAAATTACAAAATATTGGTTTGATCTTATATTGTATAAGGATAATTAAATAGAATTAATATAATATTTGATATTATAATCTATTAAAAGTGCTGTTTCTTATAAGAAGCTATTTTATATACTAATCTAGCAAATATTGAAATTATAATTTCTAAAAAAGATATCATAATATAATAATTGTCTGGTTAATATTATAATGATTACTAAAAGTTATAAGAAATATAAAGCATCTGTTTTCAATAAGATAGTTTAATGATTATTTTTCTGTAGCACCTGATGTTTCTTTTTAGAAATTTTCAAAGACTTTATTTCAATTCAGTAATAAATTACTCTAACAATTACTTATTTCAGAAAGATAATCAAAATAGCAGTAAGTACCAATAGCTAAAATAATCTATAGGCAATAAGTCTGTAAAATAAGTTTATTGAATA